TTTTTTTCGCGTTATTAGGCGTAAAACTTCAATTAATAAAACCTCCGAAGAACATGAACACAGGGAAATACATAGGAGAATGAGGCGCACGATTAGAAGACCAGCTGAAACATACCTATTTTGCGGAAGACCACCAGGTACAACCTGAGTTGCAGGTAGGCCGGCATTTCGACCGGATATTCCGCTTCTGCCCAAGCCCAACATCCCCTACAGAGAATAGAAGAAAATAATAACTTAGAAAGTCAGGCTCCTGAAAACAAAAGGCGCAAGTTCGCCAGGATTTGTTATTTTACTAGAAGCGGGGTTAATTTAATGGGAGAGCGCGAAAGGGGAAAGAGCTCAAAACAGCAAAGTTTCGAACTTACGCAGATATTCTATGGATAGAGTTGGTAGCAAAGAAAGAACCGTTCAAAGTGTAAAATGAAGAACAGCGTAAATTTATCGGATGAATAAGATCATACCTGAATCTGATCACCGGCGTAGTCTTTTGTACCCTTAAATACCCAAGATTTCGCAATGGGGCCGCTGTTCAATTCGTGAATGTGGACCATACGGCCGAAGGTGATCAAGCCAACCATACAATTTGGTGGCAGGGTGGCAACAAGCTGCTGAATCGCATTCTTAAGAAGGATGGTAAGGAGATATGGAGTAATTTACCTTCAAAGCATTAAATTCAACCTCCTCCAGGCAAGTGTCCATGACAACGAGGAAGATCGGCGGAGGTGTTGGAGCTTTCTAAAAGGACAAAAGTGAATATTAAGAGAAGTTATTACTGGTAAGAAAACACGTTACCGTTATGGTGTACTCGATTGTAGTGAATTGAGGCATGAGTTCAGCGGGTAAGTTTTGTTCCGTCATTCCAGCATATTGGGGAGGAAAAGTATTTCTTGATGAACAAAGGCAGCAGTTCCAGCATTTGGAACGAACATCAACCTAGATAACGAGATCAAGATGATTGTCCAACTCAAAAGCTTGATGAATTTTAATACAAGATACTCACCTGACAAAATGCATTGAGGATTCCACGGCAGCGAGTGCAAACGACGGGATCGTACATGATGGGAGGGAGATTTTCCCGTTCTTTCATAGGGGTGTAGAGGCATGAGATAGGAACGACGAGCTGAGCGGCGTCAAGACGTGATGCGGGCCATGTATTCCATGAAAACCGAATGCCATCACTTGCTTCTGTCTGTTGAATGTACTCGCTCATCGAAACCATGGTAGATCAAGCGGTGAAAATTGAATAAGACAAGTCTGCAGGTAAGAAAGCAGCAATGGATGAGGAAAGAGTGTTAGCGCAGATCTAGCAAGCGAGCCACTTCACATGAAAACGCGACATACGAAAAGCCCACGAGACTGACAGGCCAAAGCTCAGCAACGCAACGAGTTTCGAACTATCTGGGCAGTAACGAGTTCATTTAGACAAATCACGAATTTGTATTCGCAAGAGTTTTAATTATACTAATAAATATACTTCAATGTAAGCTACTTGAAATCGCCTACCAAATACTAAATTTGTAATGTGCAAGGCACGATCTAAACCGATTTGCAAAACAATTCACCAAAGTGCTCAACTTTTTATTAACACTTGCGATGTTATTTTAGGATAGTATTGGGCGACACACTTTCAAAATTTGTTTATACGCTTCGATATCTCATTGTGTTTTGAAGTACTTCGTCTGGTTCGAACCGGGGCCTTTTGGTGTTTGGTCTGTAGCCTCGGCGGCTCGCTTAAGCTTCGGTCTTCGTGATAGGATTAGTTTGGAAGTTTCCAATCGTACCTTAGCCTTGATGATATAACACAGCTGTTTCTTAATCCGGATTAGTGATGCCATCACCGCAGACTCCACCTGTCTCGTCTGGCAAGCGTCAAAACAGAGCTCCGAAAAGGAACTTGACATCTAAGAGAACCCTAAATATATCTCGGAAAATTCTTGAGAAGTCAGGTGATTTTATTACTATTAGATAATCTGGCTGTTCATTGCAGTTATCCAACAAAATAAACGCATTGAGTCGGTCCAACAAAACAATATTCAACTCGCTAGGCGTGTCTCTGAACTCCAAAAGGAACTCAGCGATCGAACCGCGGAGCTTCAGTTTTCTCGTGAAGAAATATTTCAGCTGCGGTTGAAACTTAATAGACTGGAAAATAACAGTGCTGAGGTAGAGGAATACTTTGAAATTTCATTCATAGTAGTCTGCTTTACACGCCCTTTGTGAAAAATTGGCTTCAGTGATGGAGGAAATATATAGAGCTCATGAATTTGCTACTAGGGTTTGCAGTGAAATTGCGGCACCGCAGGCTTCGCCGTCTCCTGAAGGTATCTCATCGTCGCGAAAATCAATCGATTCAATACAAATGGAGTGTACAAAGTAACTTCTCCCACTAGTTTTATTCGCTTCGACGAGTAGGCGAAGATTGCACCCATTGGTTTTTCTTTCAGCGCTGCCATACCAGGAGCCGGTGAGGATGTCAGGAGCCCTATTGATACAGCGTTCCGAGCCAGTGCACAGTCTGTGGAAATGGAGTTGGATTCATTTGACCCTGCGGTTACTTCTGTTAGTTGTCTTTGCATCATAGTGAAATTCCTTGAGTCCCTTTCATTTTGTGGTTTCGGTACTGCTTATTAAGCAGTTCTGAAGTTGTTCTGCATCTTCAGATATTTGTCTTTTAAAGAAAGGAAAATTTACTTGACACCGTTCTATCTAGGGCATTAATGTTGGCAGAAGCAATATTTCTTCATCTAGTAATTTCTCTGTGCCTTCTTTTGAGGTCAGTCACCTTGCCAACTGATTTTTTGCCCTCTATTGTTTGTGAAAACACCATTGAGTATAATAGTCGTCAGTGACATTCGAACTCTACCCGCAACTCTTGGTCAATAATTGGGATGCTTTTAATTTAGTTTTTAGGCTATTCTTCAGGCAGAAAAACAATGGTCCCGCCCTTGAATAGCGAGGAAGTCGTCTTGGGGACCCCACCCACTCTCCTTCACACCGGGATGTCATCCCCTGCCAAAATCTTCCAAACCAGAAGATCGGCTTCACCTATTCTTCGCCATAGTGAGAGGTCATCTTCACCCACACAATCCATCTCATCGTGTCCTGCAGAGGACGAGGCCTGTGTGTCCACTGCAAAGCCAAAGCGAAAGAGGGGTCCAGCTGTCAAAAAATCGAAAGAAACGTTCATATGTGCTGATACTGGTGCTGTAGCGGAATCCGCTATGTCTGCGCCTTCAGAAGTTGTCGATTCCCTCGTACTCCCCTCTGACCTTCAACCAACGGGGTCCCACCCATCGCCAACGTCTTCTCTGTACGTCTGCATACGTCCTATTCATTTTATTTCAGTAGAAATACTGTGATGGGGTTACTTTTGCGAACACTGTAGACCGACTACTTGTTCAAATCAGCCAGAGGCAGGCTTAGAGAAAGAGAAGAAAAGTGGCGGAAAAGCAGAGAAGATGGAGCCACCGGAGCCAGGGAGTCTACCAAGGTCGCAGTCAAAGAGGCGAAGAAAACGCCTCCGACTTATTGCAGACGACTCTGTTTTCATTCCCATATCTGATTCCATGATGGAAGATGCGGTGACTGGAAATAAGGAGAATATTGCCAAGACATCAAAGCTCGTAAAGTCTGAACCTAAGAATGGAAATGATGACGGGGTGAGCATCACTTTTCGCCGTCCAAGGGGGAATACTTGGATGACCTCCCATATGATGTTGGATGTTGTAACGAGTGTTTGTAAGCAGTTGTTAGTTATCACCTTATCTCGTAGAGGGGTAGTCTTATCTTAGGCTGACTTAACGGTGATTTTTAGGCCATTGTATCACCCTGTTAGATTTGAGCTTCCGGCTCTTATGCGCAGAACATCAGGATACTCCTTTTTTCATCACCCATCGCATTATAATAAATGCATCGAGGCATTGGCTAACCAAAGGGAGTCAAGAGTCACGATTGCTTTACCTTGTCAAATTCAGGCATTAAGAACGGTTAGTCAAGCTGAGGGCCAGCTATGGACAGAGAGAGGAAAGCATTTCCGTTATACCTCATTTTACAAGCGAAACTAAGGAAATAAGTTGTTGTAGCAATTGATTGAAATAAAGTTACATGAAAGGAAGCGTTCAAGTCCTCTCTTTTATTTCGTAGGCAAGGCGTTCAAAAGCGCAGGTGGGCGAGTACAATAGCGTGTGAGTCAGACCTCCAAAATGGTCATCTAGTTGTAGACATCCAGGCAGTGACATTTGTTAGACCCTCCTTCCTTCCACCGCTAGATCCTCCACGTCGCCTATTCGAACGCGTCGAAAGTCAGGCTCTGTTTCCTATGTGGTCAAGCTCAATACGTAACTTTGTTCTTTTCCACAAATGCTGCTTCATTTTGCTTTTGCTTTTACTTCTCCATCTGCACTCATGCACAGTGAGTTGAACGCGTTGCTCCCGCTCACCACATTTCCTTTGCAGAAAGCTGCGGCAAGGCGATCGCAACTGGTGCAGATATTGAGTCTCCAAACACATCTACTCCTCCTTCTCCTCCTCCCCCTCCTCCTCCTCCTCCTCCTTCTGCTGCTGCTGCTACTGCTGCTGTTCTCTCTGGGTGGGTGTACATTCGTTAAGCGTTTGTCCGCATTCAATGACGGTTGGTTGAGTCCGTCCATTGTACAAATGAACCGACATTGCATCTCGTCATTCTGTTGCATTCTATTGTCGGTCTTCTTCTTTACTGCCCCTTGTTGCTACTTCTTGCTGTTTGGCGGGAGGATGAGTGGGCAAGAGAGTGGCGAGTGGGTTGTGTGTGTGGGCAAGGTGACAGTGAGGGTAATGGGGCTTGGGGGTGGGGAGGGGGAAGAGGGAGAGTGAGGCATGGAGTGTTGGGAGGGTGTGGTGGGTTCGGCTTCTTAGTCGTGTTGGAGGTGTGGTTGGGTGTCAGTGTAGTGGTGGTGGCAGTAGAAGGCAGTGTTAGGGCGTCGGATCGTCGACTCGACGGTTGTAGATGATTGGTTCCACCTCGGTGGTGTGGTGGTGAACAGCATTGTGGCGTTGGGTGTCGAAGGTGGACTTCGTGGTGTCCTGTGTGTGTCACAGTGACACAGTGGGATGATGGGATGCAAGTTGTGTGGAGCCGTAGAAGGCAATGCCAATGCTCGGTTGCATGCGTGGATGCGCATCGTGAGTACTGACCACGTCGCACCCGCTCCATGACAGCATGAAGTGTCGGTTCTGCACATCCACTCGGATGCATACACAAGTGAGGAGGAGGAGGAGGAGGAGGAGGAGGAGGA